GGCCTATAAGAACTCCAACATGGAGCTAAAAAAGAAAATGCAGATGGTTAGTATTGTTTTTGTTCGGATGCACAGCAGTCCATACTAAGATTTGTTAGATGGCAGAGAGTTGTTACAATTTTAGCCAGTTTGTGCTTCTAACATAAATTTCTAGGCAAGAGAAGGAAAAGAACAGACAGAACAACAAAGACAGCACTAACCAGGTGATGAAGGACCTGGAGGATCGCTCTCTTGTGCCCCCTGCTCCTCCAGAGAATAGTGCAGGTTTGTATTGCATAGAATGTTGTTACTGACCAATTCTACCTTTGCATTTGGTAGTATTAATATAAGTATAATTGGTAACATTATCAGATTAGCTTTCGCTGTTACTGTTAAAAGTTTGAAATAAATAATAATAATTTTATTCAGCAATGATACATTAAACTGATCAAAAACAAGGACTTTTACATTGTTACACAAAACTGTATTTCAAATAAACACTGTTCCTTTGGACTTCTTAGTCACCAAAGAATCCTAAAAAAATAATATATTAGGCAGAACAACCATTTTCAGTTGTGATATAATTTTTTTTTTAAAAGTGAATGGAGCACCAAGCATACAAGAATGATTTCTGAAGGATCATGTGACATTGAAGACTGGAGTAATGGCTTCTAGAAATTCAGCTTTGCCATCATTTGAATAAATTGCATTTTAAAATATATTAAAATAGAAAACAGCTATTTTAAATTGTTATAATATTTCACAATATTACTGTTTTTACTGTATTTTTAATGTAGTAAATGCAGCCTTGGTGAGCATAAGATTTCTAAAACATTTTACAGACACTAAACTTTGAACAGTAGTGTAATTCTATAAGTCGTATGTGTTTCAATAATTAAAAAAAACATGTAAATTATACAAAAATACAGTAAATCTTGAGAAGTGGATGCTTTAGATTAAACTCTTGCCCCTCATTCCATTCCATGTTTCTTCCTTCCTTAGAAAAAAAACATGACCAGGGTGGAAAATCGCCAAAAGTCAAACCAGGCACAGATGGAGGTGGCGTGCATCTGCAGAAAGACGTGTCACTCGCGTCAGCTAATCCTAACGCCCGGGGGCCTGTGACTCGAGCGCCAGGCCCCAGGGGACCTGGACCTCTACCTGGCCAACCAGGGGCAGGCAGGGGTCAAGGGCCACCGCCTAGAAGGCAGTAATGTTTGATCTAGTCTTTATTGTGTGCTCTGTCGGCCTACACACTCTATAATTAATGTAAACATTGGTTTGTTTTATTAGATAAATCAATATTTAAAGAAATTTGGAGATATCATAATAATTATCATACATTCCTTTACAGTAAATTGCATATGTGACCCTGGACCACAAAACCAGTCATAAGTAGCACCAGGTATATTTGTAGCAATTGCCAAAAAAAACATAGTATGGGTCAAAATTATAAATTTTTCTTTTAATCATTAGGATATTAAGTAAAGATCATGTTCCATGAAGATATTTTGTAAATTTCCTACCGACAAGATATAAAAAATGTATTATCATTAGTAATATGCATTGCTAAGGACTTCATTTGGACAACTTTAAATATTTTCTCAATATTTTGATTTTTTTGCACCCTCAGATTCCAGATTTTCAAATAGTTGTATCTATGCCAAATACTGTCCTATCCTAACAAACCATACATCAATGGAAAGCTTATTTATTCACAATGTATAAATCTCAATTTAAAAAAATTGACCCTTATGACTGGTTTTGTGGTCCAGGGTCACATATATCATATACATACAGTGGCCCCAAAATGAATTTGGACACTCAGTCACATCAAACAACCTTACCTATCAACATCTTTCACTAACACTGGACATACAAAAAAGAGTGTAAATATTTTTTGTCTTCATTTTGAGCAGTATATAGATTGTTTTATCATTTAAAGAAAAATTGTGAAACATTTTTATGTTCTCTCTGTTTTTTTTTTCTTTTAAACTAAATGCTTGCTTTGGTATTTTGTTGATGCAGTGAGATGTATTTTTAATTGTGTCTGAAGTGTCTAAACTCTCTTTGGGCCTACTGTATGTGTTATGTGTTTAATGCATGTATATTATACCACCACATATAACTGCTTTATTATTGAACTACAGTTACAGTACATTTGTTGTCTATTTTATTTAGTGTTTTATAATAAATCCAAAATCTAGTATATAAAGTTTTTTAGTCATTTCCGTACTTTAGTGACAGTTGAGCATTGTGAAGATTGGATTACTAATGCTCACAATGATACATGAATCACTCAACAAGCACCCAAACTGGTTCTGAACGTTTCTGCATGTATCCTTTGTGCAAAAGCATGACACAAACCCAGAACCCAGTTATACAACATTACTTTTTCAAACCTCATGTTTTAGAGTTTGTCCTGTCACCTAAAATTGCCCTCACAACTTTGACTCAACATCTGTAGTGTGCGAAAACTCTAGTCAGGAATTGTAGCTTGACCATGGAAGGACAGTTCACCCAAAAATGTAATTTCCTCACCCTTATGTAATTCCGGTTATTTTCTTTCTTCTGTGGAACACAAGGACATACATCTGCATTCTCTTCCTTTTACCTTTAACAGCAGAAAGTCATGAGTTTTTGGAAAAACAATGAATGAGTAAATGATGATAGAATTTCCATTTTTGGATGAACTAACTGTACATGAATAGAATAGAATAGAATAGAATAGAATACTGTTTTTACTGTATTTTTAATGTAGTAAATGCAGCCTTGGTGAGCATAAGATTTCTAAAACATTTTACAGACACTAAACTTTGAACAGTAGTGTAATTCTATAAGTCGTATGTGTTTCAATAATTAAAAAAAACATGTAAATTATACAAAAATACAGTAAATCTTGAGAAGTGGATGCTTTAGATTAAACTCTTGCCCCTCATTCCATTCCATGTTTCTTCCTTCCTTAGAAAAAAAACATGACCAGGGTGGAAAATCGCCAAAAGTCAAACCAGGCACAGATGGAGGTGGCGTGCATCTGCAGAAAGACGTGTCACTCGCGTCAGCTAATCCTAACGCCCGGGGGCCTGTGACTCGAGCGCCAGGCCCCAGGGGACCTGGACCTCTACCTGGCCAACCAGGGGCAGGCAGGGGTCAAGGGCCACCGCCTAGAAGGCAGTAATGTTTGATCTAGTCTTTATTGTGTGCTCTGTCGGCCTACACACTCTATAATTAATGTAAACATTGGTTTGTTTTATTAGATAAATCAATATTTAAAGAAATTTGGAGATATCATAATAATTATCATACATTCCTTTACAGTAAATTGCATATGTGACCCTGGACCACAAAACCAGTCATAAGTAGCACCAGGTATATTTGTAGCAATTGCCAAAAAAAACATAGTATGGGTCAAAATTATAAATTTTTCTTTTAATCATTAGGATATTAAGTAAAGATCATGTTCCATGAAGATATTTTGTAAATTTCCTACCGACAAGATATAAAAAATGTATTATCATTAGTAATATGCATTGCTAAGGACTTCATTTGGACAACTTTAAATATTTTCTCAATATTTTGATTTTTTTGCACCCTCAGATTCCAGATTTTCAAATAGTTGTATCTATGCCAAATACTGTCCTATCCTAACAAACCATACATCAATGGAAAGCTTATTTATTCACAATGTATAAATCTCAATTTAAAAAAATTGACCCTTATGACTGGTTTTGTGGTCCAGGGTCACATATATCATATACATACAGTGGCCCCAAAATGAATTTGGACACTCAGTCACATCAAACAACCTTACCTATCAACATCTTTCACTAACACTGGACATACAAAAAAGAGTGTAAATATTTTTTGTCTTCATTTTGAGCAGTATATAGATTGTTTTATCATTTAAAGAAAAATTGTGAAACATTTTTATGTTCTCTCTGTTTTTTTTTTCTTTTAAACTAAATGCTTGCTTTGGTATTTTGTTGATGCAGTGAGATGTATTTTTAATTGTGTCTGAAGTGTCTAAACTCTCTTTGGGCCTACTGTATGTGTTATGTGTTTAATGCATGTATATTATACCACCACATATAACTGCTTTATTATTGAACTACAGTTACAGTACATTTGTTGTCTATTTTATTTAGTGTTTTATAATAAATCCAAAATCTAGTATATAAAGTTTTTTAGTCATTTCCGTACTTTAGTGACAGTTGAGCATTGTGAAGATTGGATTACTAATGCTCACAATGATACATGAATCACTCAACAAGCACCCAAACTGGTTCTGAACGTTTCTGCATGTATCCTTTGTGCAAAAGCATGACACAAACCCAGAACCCAGTTATACAACATTACTTTTTCAAACCTCATGTTTTAGAGTTTGTCCTGTCACCTAAAATTGCCCTCACAACTTTGACTCAACATCTGTAGTGTGCGAAAACTCTAGTCAGGAATTGTAGCTTGACCATGGAAGGACAGTTCACCCAAAAATGTAATTTCCTCACCCTTATGTAATTCCGGTTATTTTCTTTCTTCTGTGGAACACAAGGACATACATCTGCATTCTCTTCCTTTTACCTTTAACAGCAGAAAGTCATGAGTTTTTGGAAAAACAATGAATGAGTAAATGATGATAGAATTTCCATTTTTGGATGAACTAACTGTACATGAATAGAATAGAATAGAATAGAATAGAATAGAATAAAATAGAATAGAATAGAATAGAATAATCTGAAACTAAGTAGAAGCATGTGCACAGTTTTGTGCAAAATCTAGTGAACATGTCATTTCATGTGTATGATTTTTGTTTAGGCTTCATATCGTATGACAGTTTATCCCGCACAAACCAATAATCCTACAGTTTGAGTTGAGTGCAGCAAACACATTAAATGACTAAAGACAGGCACAACCAGAACAACCTGGTCCAACCCCTCCACCCAGCCAAGTGTTTTTTTTTTTTTGCTTTGCATGTGCCTACAGAATAAAAGGCCTGGTTATGTTTCCGAAATTACCCATTTCAGAGCAGCTCTCAGAGACAGGGGAACAGGTGAGATATCATAGTAAAGGTGTTTTACTGTTGTCATCAGTAGCATATTTTAACAAAGCTCTTTGAAAACATTTGACACTGAATCAATGACTTACAAACATTAGTAATGATGTTTCATAAGCACAACATAGCATTGTATTTGTTTGTTTGTTTGTTACTTGTCATAGCTTTTTCAAAAGTTTTAAAGGATGGCATTCTTCAAGAAGTTTATCAACAAAATTAGTAATGATGACAGCAGCAAGGTAAGTATAGAATATGTATGACCAATGATTTGAATATATTGAAGTACACCTCAACATTACTACTTATATTAGTAATTTTAGTCCATGGATTGACAGTCAGTGGGTGTTGTAATATGTTTCATCACAGGGTTTTAAAGGTGGTCCAGTGGAGACGGCATACTTTGGAACAGTAAAGCCTGATCCAAACTTTAATGGCCAGAATGATGCTGCAAAATTGAAGAAAGCTATTGAGACCAAAGGTAAATACTTTGCTGTAAATACAGGTGATTTACTCATTTTGAATTGTGCATAGCAGTGTTGTGCTATAAGGTTGAAAGAAACATCCTAACCAGTGTAGAAATCAAAATTAATGCGACGTTAAAGATGTAAAATGCTCTCATGCTCCTGATACCAATGTTAGAAATACTGTAGGGATGCTGCTTTTTTTAATGCGTTTTGATAAAGTATGAAAAATACTGTTCATTTCAACTAGATATAATAAGTTATGTGTTTATTCAAGTGTTGTCATGTTTAGTAGGACACACCCTGCAATACCTGGAAAACTTTCCTAGAATGCATTCCTAGGACTACATTATGTCATAGCTAAAAAGCACAGGCTTAATGACACTAATTCATGAGCACTAGAACAAAACTGGCCACATGACAAAATAAATATCTGTGTACTAAGTAATTATTTAGTATTTTCATATATTTATATATATTTTCAAATGTATCATATACATATATATTTTGTACATGTGTTCTTTCCATTGTTTAATATATTTTACTTGGTGTGTATCAACACCATCAGATACAAAAAAAACGTGTACTGTCAAGTAAAATACTAGCATTTGACTCAGATTGCACATTTGTTTTAAGAACATTCTAGTGACCGTGTCCGATTAATTTAAATGTTGCTATAAAAAAAAGAGACAAGCAAAATGTTTTGTCCCATGTCTCATGAATCAGCGTTAAATTAAATACATATCCCCCAATACACAGTTATACAGTAGTTGTACTTCTTATGCACCTTGATGCAGTGCATGATGCAGCGGCTCATTTTAACCCACTAGAATTACGCTGTAGTTTGATCATAAATAGCCTCTCACTTTCGTCTGTTTTCCTCTCATGAAGGTGTGGATGAAGCCACTATTGTGGAGGTGATAGCAAAGAGAAGCAATGCACAAAGACAACAGATCAAAGAAGCTTATCAGCAGAGTACAGGAAAAGTAAGCATTTTTACATCCAACAATGTTTGTCTTTGGCCTATTTAAATGTGTAAAGATGGTCTGGCATGTAAATATGAGATTGGAGGCATAGATAGAGGATGTTCAGAAGTTGTCTATTCATAATTCTCAGTTATTTGTAATTGAGATATGAATTTTGACTCAGATTTTCAAGATAGATGAACAGAAATAGACACAAAATAGAGCTGCAAGCAGAAATTAGGAAGTCAAGAACATCAGTGACATCATGTACACTGCATTAAACATGGTCCAAGGAATTAAAAAATGATGATTGTAATAGTTTATGAACTACAGTATGACTGAACTAGTTTTGTGCCAATTCTTTCAAAGGTCATGAGCAGATGTAGCCTACATTTACAACATTTTACCAGCACTCTTAAGTCAAAAGGTCACATATTTGGGTTTGTTCTAATGCATTAAAGAAAATATCAAAGTATCTGGCATCTGCGCAACTTTTGTGTGTGTGTACTAGTGTATTGTACTATGTTTTTATTTTGTGTGTGTGTGTGTGTGTGTGTGTGTGTAGCCTCTGGCGGATGCGCTGAAAAAGGCTTTGAAGTCAGATTTTGAGGAAGTGGTCCTGGCCTTGCTGATGACACCCCCTGAATATGATGCTTTCGAAATGAAAAGAGCCATGAAGGTCTAATTTTTTATCTTTTTTTTGTTGTTGTTTGTTTGTTTGTTTGTTTTGTGTTATGTAGTGTAGTGTTGTGTGTGTGTGTGTGTTGTTGTTGTTTTTTTAAACCTTGACAGTTAATATTTAAATATTTAAAAATGTTAGACAGTTTACACAACCATCCAATGTTTTATTTAAAGATTTCAACACTAAAAATTAATTTATAATTAGGGTCTTGGGACAAAAGAGGCTGTCTTAAGTGAAATTCTAGGGACCAGATCAAACAAGGAGATCACAGCGATGAAAAATACTTTCAAAGAAGGTAACAACACAGATCCAAATATATACATGTACTTCATGAATGCAAATGTGTGTAGCTGCTAACCTCTTTTTGTTGTAAAGGCTATGGACAGCTGCTGGACGAACAAATTAAAGGTGAAGTTAGTGGAGATCTTGAGAATACCCTGCTTGCCCTTTGCAAGGTACAAAAATGATGCTGTTTAGTATACGTATGTTACACCATAAGAAAACTGAATGATTTATGTGTACTGAATATATATATCGAATATATATATCCTATAACAGGCTACCAGGAGTGAAGACCATAATATTGATGATGGGCTTGCAAAGAGTGATGCAAAGGTACTGTGGCAGATTCTACCCCAACACTGTAACAACTGAACTAAACAACACACAACTCATGTTATTAATTATTGTGTTTAAATAAGCTGATTTGTCTGGGTCTATATCATTTTCCAGTAACCTGTTTTGAATTTGGATTGGTTGGTAGGCATCTGGAAGTATCCCATTCATTTTCTCCATGGACTGTATATGTATGGTTCTGTAGAAGCTATCCACCTTATTCTTCAATGCGGAAGTAAGCCTATGGGTGAGACTCCCGGTTCATTAGCCGCTATAGGGAAATAACAAGAAAATAAAAACAAGCAGTAAATGGTAAAACTGTTTGCACTACAAACCAGTGTGTTCATAATTAAGATAATACATTAAAATAATATGATATGACACACCAATTTTCAATATCAAGCAGCAGAACAAGCTGTTTTGTACAGCTAAAAATAGCTGGACGCAGATGAGACTGGAAGCTAGACCCATAAAATTTTACTCCCGCTACGGGGAAGAAAAGGGTGGATTAGTCAGTGTTGTTTGAAAAAGTGCAACAATATGGTTACAAGTGTGATATTGCTTTTATACAACATTTATACACGAAAGTTAATATTGAGTAACTAACATTTTAGACAAAATATAGCCATTTATTTTATTTAAAAGTGCACTACTGCTATCTGTGATTGAAACAGAAAATTGCAAGTTAAAAGTAGCCTACTTACAGATTTGTTGCTTTACATCAGTTGTGCTTCAGCACTACTGTTGTGAAATGTTGTGGCATTTTTACAACAGTTTTAGTAGTTTTTATTTTTGTTATTGTTATTGCTAGCTTAACCTTTATGCCATGTGGAAGGTTAAATAAAAGCTGCGGGGTCTTCAGTCAGGGACTAAATTTAGCAGTGATAGTAGAAGCTGTGGCTTTATATTTGGTCCAGTGAGATGAAGGTGCATATTGAAAAAAAGGGGGCCAAGCACTAATTAAGATAATACATTAAAATAATATGATATGACACACCAATTTTCAATATCAAGCAGCAGAACAAGCTGTTTTGTACAGCTAAAAATAGCTGGACGCAGATGAGACTGGAAGCTAGACCCATAAAATTTTACTCCCGCTACGGGGAAGAAAAGGGTGGATTAGTCAGTGTTGTTTGAAAAAGTGCAACAATATGGTTACAAGTGTGATATTGCTTTTATACAACATTTATACACGAAAGTTAATATTGAGTAACTAACATTTTAGACAAAATATAGCCATTTATTTTATTTAAAAGTGCACTACTGCTATCTGTGATTGAAACAGAAAATTGCAAGTTAAAAGTAGCCTACTTACAGATTTGTTGCTTTACATCAGTTGTGCTTCAGCACTACTGTTGTGAAATGTTGTGGCATTTTTACAACAGTTTTAGTAGTTTTTATTTTTGTTATTGTTATTGCTAGCTTAACCTTTATGCCATGTGGAAGGTTAAATAAAAGCTGCGGGGTCTTCAGTCAGGGACTAAATTTAGCAGTGATAGTAGAAGCTGTGGCTTTATATTTGGTCCAGTGAGATGAAGGTGCATATTGAAAAAAAGGGGGCCAAGCACTAAACCCTGAGGCACCCCAGTATTTAGCTGATTAAGCTAAATAGCTGATGAAGTCTTGATAGATTTGCCTCTGAGCTAAGACTCAAGACAGCAAGGTACAGTTAGTGTAATGCCCAGTCCAAAGAGGATGGACATGAGGATCTAGGTCTGGTTGCACTAGCTAGATGTAAAAAAGTTAGATGTAAACCGTATGCTGGGCTTAGCTATGTCCAGCTTAACGTCCAGCTATGTTCAGCTTTCCGATAAATATTTACACCTATTACACCAACTAAAACTATGACCAGGCACAACTACGCCCAGCGTAGGCAATGCCCAACCACACCAACACATTGTACTGCAGTGATAGTTGACAAATCATTCATGCAGCAATGACTACAACTACTAAATATAGCTGCAAGCAGCAATTAAGGGGGCAAGCACAAAAGAAGTAAAATGAAGAGCTAAGGAGCTTTTTTAGTTACTCAGTAAAGACCAGGGTTCTCCAGTCCTGCTCCTGAAGAGCTACCTTCCTGCAGACTTAAATTCCAACCCTGCTTCAACACACCTGTCTGTAATTAAGTAGCCCTGAACACCTTGATTAGCTGGTCCATGTGTGTTGGATTAGGGTTTAAGCTGAACTCTGCAGTATGGTAGCTCTTCAGGAGCAGGGTTGGAGACCCCTGTTAAAGACGTGCTAAAAATACTGTTCGATTCTGCATGCCGTTTGGAATCGAACAAGACCAATCTTATGATTTTTGGCCAAACTGGTCAGAAGTTATAAGCAGAAATTGTATATCTTTTGACCAGTAGGGGGTGCTGTGCCGAAACTACTTATGTGCCCTCAGGTCATGCTTGTTATAACACATACCAAGTTTGGTCAGAAGAATCCGCTAAAACATTGCGGAGATATAGCCTCATGCTCTTTTTTGCACAAACTTAATCAAATTCATTAGCGCGCTTTATGAAAATGGTTTGGTATATCAAAAAGCTTTTGATAACGAGTTCGAAAAAGTAGTTATTTAGAAAAATTCACAATTTGCGAAAAATCTTGGCACGTAGAAATTTTAATCTTGGTATGCATTCGACTCGCCATGAGAAGGGATGAACGCAGCGAAAACTTAGGCTACAGTAGATGGGGAACCGATTGCTCTCCCATGATATTTTGTAAACTGTATTTATGACAAAGAACTGCACAGATGCAGATATTATAACAATCTATCAATAAACACACACCGTGTCCTGTTTCTCGCTCTGAGCCGCTGCTGTCTGCGGATTGAAAAAGAACGCGCTGAAAGACGGGGAGGAGCCGATCGAAGTCTGCCGCCGTTTTCATATGAAATTTAAAGGGGACTGAGGCGATCACGAACTCGTGTACAGTTTATGGATCTAATCGCAAAATTTTAGGGGGGCTGAGTAGTCCAGGCTATAGCCCCCCTAAAAATGGCCTAGCAACGCCCATGAGTTAAAGACTGTCTTCTATCTGTGTGCCAAGTTTCATAATTTTCCCACAAGCGGTTCTACTGTATTGGCTGCCATAGACTCCCAGAGCGGAAGAAGAAGAAGAAGAAAACCAACAGATACTAGTGATGTGAAATTCGCATCATTTTACCGACTCGGACCTTTGAGTCTCGTTCAGCAAAATGAACAAATCTTTTTTCGAGTCATTTCGTTCATTTTAGCAAAATATAATTAAAATGTTACGTGTTACTTCTCTAACATGTCTACTACTTACGCAAACGTTGATCACACTACAAACAATACAAAATGCTATAAGAAACAGAAAAGATTAATTCATTGTTTACCTGGGTCTTCAGCCTATGATTAGCTCACCTCACCTCTTATCTGACAAGTCTTTGGGTTTGAGTCGTTCGTTCATCACGTGACAGCCCCATAAACTTAACCTATGCAGTCTGAGCCGGAAAGAGAATTGATTAGTTCATCTCTCGAGTCTTCGGGTATGAGGTGTTCGTTCATCACGTGACAGTCCCATAAGCTTTAAAGGGGTCATAGGATGCCCATTTTCCACAAGTTGATATGATTCTTTAGGGTCTTAATGAAGAGTCTGTAACATAGTTTGGTTAAAATTTCTCAATGGTAGTGTAAAAAACAGAATTTTTACCCTGTCAAAAACAGCTCTTTTCAGATCAAACTGTTTTTGTAGCATTTTCCTTTAAAATGTTAATGAGCTCAGCTGACCCCGCCCCTCTCTTCCGAGCCACTCTCTGAGGGACTGTTTACTTTATTCATCGTGAAACTTGCTAATTAGCACATTATTAGGAAAGGCGATTTGCAAAGATTCATTACAAAACATTATACTCACTTCTTCTGTAGATGAGGCTGTCTCATGAATGATTCACGCGAACATAGACACATTTATGTAGATCGGGGGCGCATTACCTTCAGAAACAATGTATGTAATCCACTGCGAGTTCAGCGGCTCAGATGTCGGGAGTAAATGACGACTGCTATGTTCATTATTACATCCAAAAACAGAACACCTCAATCACTTAGGAAGGAGTCATTCTTGTCTACATCTGCTTCAGTGGTGAAACAATGGCGGACTGATGACAGCTCACTCAGGGCGGGTCTAAGCACTGCCAACACACATTTCAGTTCAAACAACTTGTAAAAGTGCATGTAGCATCCTATGACCCCTTATGCAGTCTGAGCCGGAGAATTGATTAGTTCATCTCTCGAGTCTTTCGAATCGTTCGTTCTTTTGTCACGTGACGTGACAGCATTGGATAGAGAAATTAGTTAATTTATAAGCTTGTACAAACGGATGCATAGTTATTATTATTATTATTAGTATTATCATTATTATCATTATTATATAATATATATAACTATAGTTACGTGATGCGTTTCTGGTCTCAAATTGTAGCTTTTTACTTCTTACAGTTTATAAATGTGTGAACTTCTGTCATGATGGTTCTTTTCCATAACACTGAATGTTGTAACAAAGGTAATAGAGAGTTGGTTATCATTATTAAGTCTCTTTCCAGCTCAGACTGCATAGGTTAAGCTTATGGGTCTGTCACGTGATGAACGAATGACTCGAAAAACCCGAAGACTCGAAACAGGTGAACTACTTGACTAATTCCAGTACAGAACCTGTCAAAATGAACGAATCGTTCAAGAACGACCCATCACTAACGGATACAATAGCACCTAGTGCTTGTCCCCTAATAATAAAGAATGAATTGCTCAAGACATCATAACAAGTAAAGTCACCACACCATGATTTCATTGATCAAACTTTCCTAAGTCTGCGTTTTTATATCAAGTCTCCCTGCACATTCTTATGACAGATACATTCAAACATACATTAAAAAATGAAGACGACAAGTTAAGTAAAATATAATCAATGTAACATGTGCACATATTTATCAAAATTCTCTTCTCTAGTGTTATTTTTCTAGCTGACTTTTTCTAGCTGAGTTTATGTACAATGAATTTCTTTCCTGAGGTAAATGTGACATTATGTGACGTATTGTTCACAAGCTGTTTTACTGACGTCTTTTTTTCGGTTGAAACACTGATTGAGGGATTCCATTAGATACATTTCAGTAAGTTGTTGATGGTGCAAGAGGTATTAATACTATGCATGACTGAAAGCGCATTTTGCAGCCAGCCTAGTCTTACAACCGGGTGTACGTCCAGCTGGTGCAACCGGCCCCTGGTGCCTTACTGTACCATTGCAAAGGCAGAAGGCAGGTCTATGTAAAAAGATGAACAGTGCCATCTTTGGGACAGGAGGACAACAACATGTCTAGGTCTGTGGTGAAGTTGCCCAGTTCACATAAAGTACGTTGTGTGTGGTGCCTTGTTGGTCCTCTTGTTCGGTGGACAGGTCTTCACACAAGCAGTATTCACAACATGGATGATGCATACTATAAAATGGAACAAAAAAGTATGCATTATAGTTTGTAATAATAACAATATGTAAGTTTATGTACATGCCAGCATGCTGGTGTGCATGTAAATGCACTCACTGTCTGCTTTATACAGGCTCTGTTTGAGGCAGGAGAGAATCGGGTTGGTACTGTTTGCTCTGTCCTGATTGATGTCCTCACAACCAGGAGTGAAGCTCAGTTGTGCAAAAGTAAGTGGAGAAATATCTATGACAGAATACAAATATTACATATATGATTGTTTTTCACAGAGAGTTGACTTTATATTTTTAGACTCTAATAGTGTCATTAAAAATGTGTTTGCAGTTTTCCAGCATTATGGGAAATACAGCAAGCAGGGTTTGGCCAAAGTGCTGGAGAGTGAGCTGCATGGAGACCTTGAAGACTGTCTGATGGCCCTGGGTAAGGAAACAAGCCTTCATTTTAGTCTGTGTGTCTGTGGGTGTGTGTGAGAGATTCTAGACATGTTAAATGCTTCAGTGATCGAAAGACTATTCTAAGCAAAGCTTTTAGGAAGCTTGTTTTTCCAACTCTGCGTGTCGAGGGTTGGTCCAGTCAGCATTATCACACAAACCTTTATCACACAAAGATACATACAAAGACACAATAGTAACTAAATCAAGCACTATGAAGTCACATCTTCCGTTTTTGTGCTCATGACAGTTTTTTCAAACATACAAACCTCACAACATTCTTATTTTTCATGTTTAGTGAAGTCTGCTTGGAACAAACCTGCCTTCTTTGCAGAAAAGCTCCACCTGGCTATGAAGGTAAAGTTGCAAAGGAATTTATGGAACGTGTTTCAGTACGCCCATGTAGTTGTGCACTGTGAGTGCTGCATATGCTTTTGATATTTTCAGTCTTTATTATTTCTATTTTTACATTAATTTAACTGTAATGTGGGTTTCTAGGGGTTAGGAACCAATACTGATACACTGACTAGAATCATTGTGAGTCGTTCAGAAATTGACCTGCTGAAAATCATTCAAGAATATAAAAGGATGTATGGCAAACCCCTTCAGGAGGCCATTCTGGTGAGTCTCCATCATTTGAAAAGCTCTAAACAACTAGTTTGATGCTAACATGAAATTAAAAATGAGCCCATTTACTTCACATCCATTATGGAATGAAAGGGTCGCTTTTCATGATCCAGTCGAATTCAAGTCAAGTTCACCTCTACATTTATCCCTTTTCTGGTTTTACAGCAGGAAACGAGTGGAGATTATGAGAAGATTCTGCTGACTCTCTGTGGCACTCAGTAATCATCTCTTATATGTCTGAATTATGTGAAAAACATCTGCAGATTCATTACATTATTCATTGTATTGGCACAACTCAATCCCCCTTAGTTGGCTTATAAAAACTGTTTAATTTAAATATGCACTCTGTGAATGTTATCGTCAGTATAATATCCCTAACTACAACTTGGCATACTGTCTTAGTGGTAATTCAAGTGTTACAATTACATGGCAACTATATATTAGTATTATTGTAATAAATTGCTTTGTAAATTGTGGCAATATTTTACATTTTGATGAACATATTTGTTTCTTTAGCATGTGACAGTATGTGAGAACTGTGAGCACTGGCTTGACCTTATCTGTGTGTCTGTTCTCATAATCAAAGAGACAAATTCCACAACTAATAAACTCTTTAAAGCTGTAGTTTAAAGCATCTGCATCTAATGCAATTTCTAGTGAACAATATAATCTCATATGTAAGTTTGGTCACACTTTATTTTGGGGACCAATTGTCACTATTAACTAACTATTAACTATGCCACTTGCCTCAATAAACTCCTAATTTGCTGCTTATTAATAGTTAGTAAGGTAGTTTAGGTAAAGTTAAGTTAATGATGAAGGATTAAGGGATCTAAAATATGGTCATGCAGAATAAGGCATTAATATGTGCTTATTAAGCACTAAAAACAGTCAAGATGCATGCTAATAAGCAACTAGTGAGAACTGGTTCCTAAACTAAATTGTTAGTAAGTTTCAATGCAAGTTTTGTTTCGTATTAGATTTAGACTACAACTGGGGGCAGGGATGGACTGGGAGTAAAAAACGGCCCTGGATTTTCCCCCAAATAGGCCCCACCACAACTACAAACAGCCGCTACTATCTTACAATATTACAGCAGTCAATGTATCGCATTTATGGCAAATAACATGACAAAACCCACGGTGATTAAAATAAATGTATTATTGTATTAGTATGAACTAAAATACAAAAAAAATTAAACCTACACTCTTAAAAATAAAGGTGCTTCACGATGCCATAGAAGAACCTTTTTGTCTAAATGGTTCCATAAAGAACCTTTAACATCTGAAGAACCTTTCTGTTTGACAAAAGGTTCTTTGTGGCGAAAGAAGGTTCTTCAGATTATAAAAAGGTAAGAAAGAGATGGTTCTTTAAAGAACCATCTCTTTCTTACCTTTTTATAATCTGAAGAACCTTCTTTCGCCACAAAGAACCTTTTGTCAAACAGAAAGGTTCTTCAGATGTTAAAGGTTCTTTATGGAACCATTTAGACAAAAAGGTTCTTCTATGGCATCGCTTGAAGAACCTTTTGAAGCACCTTTATTTTTAAGAGTGTACATAAAAAGAGCAGAATGCAAAAATGTACATGACATATAGCCTAATGATAAACATTAACCTAGAATCTAGAAACCTGAAACAACAGATCTATTCTACAATTTGAGTATTCATATGTCTCTCTCTCTCTCTCTGTGTGTGTGTGTGTGTGTGTGTGTGTCACGCTGCAGCCAAGCTGAGTGAGAGTGACCATGTGTGCACAAATTATTTGCAAACTCGCTCATTCTCATGTTACATGTTTATCGGAGCAATCACCTTAGGCTACTTCATTTACTCTATTTTCTAACTCAGTAGTTGTCAAACCTGTTGTAGAATCTCTGCTGTTTCGTTATTGAATGGAATATTCACGTCAGACAATGCGGAGTGATAAATAGCAGTGAACGTTAGGACTAGGGATGTCCTGGGATTTTACTATAGTGCTGTTCATAGGCTACATGCTCTATAGTGAGAGAGGCGGGCAAAGGTAACCTGATGTAACCGTCCACAGGCGACTTACCAGAACCTCAGGAGCTCAGGAGCAACTGCTGCCGTCTCTCCCTCATCAGGCTCAAGATTAGGGCTACTATTGCCAAACATCTGTTATTTATTTTATTTATTTATTTATTATTATTATTTTTTTATATTTTGTAGCGTCAGTCTCTAAGGACTTCGCTTTTTTTCTTTTAGCTTCTCCCAGCCGCCTTTGTCTTTATGTATTTTGCTTGTCATCATGAGCCCACTCTCCTTCGGATCAGTTTCAGTTTATTACAAGCAAAAAAAGATTGCATTAGCGCCCCCTTTTTTTTGGCTGTCAACGTCACTTAATGTCGGACAATGGCCGTTCTGGACTTCTTTTTTCACCTTTATTTATATAGCGCTTTTAACAATACAGATTGTGTCAAAGCAACTGTACAGCATTAATTAGGAAAATAGTGTGTCATTAATGCAAAATTACAATGGTAAACACTCAATTTTCAGTTAAAGGCAGTTCATCATTGAATTCAGTGATGTCATCATCCAGCTCAGTTCAGTTTAAATAGTATCTGTGCAATCAAGTCGACGATATCGCTGGAAATTAAGTGTCCCCAACTAAGCAAGCCAGAGGCGACAGCGACAAGGAACCAAAACTCCATCGACGTGGAGGACTATAATGCAATAAGAGCTCATTCAAATATTGAGGTGCTAAACCATTCTGGGCTTTATAAGTAACAAGCAAGATTTTAAAATACGATAATACAAGAATTACGATGTTTAATATGGAGCCAGTGGAGGTTGACAGAACCGGGCTAATATGGTCATATTTCCTGGTTCTGGTAAGAACTCTAGCTGCTGCATTTTGGAACAGCTGGAGTTTGTTTATTAAGCACACAGAGCAACCACTCAATAAAGCATTACAATAATCTAAACTTGAGGTCATGAACGCATTAATTAACATTTCTGCATTCGACATTGAGAGCTTAGAGAGTAATTTAAATATATTTTTAAGATGGAAAAATGCGGTTTAACAAAAGCTAGAAACATTGTTTTCAAAGGATGAGGTCATGAATGCATGAATTAACATTTCTGCATTTGACATTGCAGAGGTCGTAATTTAGATATATTTTTGAGATGGAAAATTGCAGTTTTACAAATGCTAGAAACATGGCTTTCAAAGGAAAGATTGCTATCAAATAACACTGATGACGAAGAATTGACAGAGCAGCCATCAAGTGTTAGACAGTGTTCTAGGTTATTACATGCGGAGATTTTAGGTCCGATAATTAACGCCTGTTTTTTCAGAATTTAACATTAAGAAATTACTCGTCATCCAGTTTTTTATATCAACTTTGCATTCCGCTAGTTTTTCAAATTTGTATGTTTCGCCGGGCCGCGAATTCATTCACTGCTACAAATTGATGGCGGTCAGATAAGTAAGATTTGAACCATGGTAATGCACTTCCATTAATACCAACAAAGTTTTCTAGTCTTTTCAAAAGAATGTCGTGGTCAATAGTGTCAAACGCAGCGCTAAGATCCAGTAGCACTAATAGAGAGATACAACCACGATCAGATGATAAGAGCAGGTCATCAGGTAAGAGCACTTCTCCAGAAAGTCCAGATGGCCAGTCTGCCCCTGACTGGGGGTGAGTGCAGCAAATACATTAAATGACAAATTATCACAAGTCTTACAGACAGGTACAACCAGAACAACCTGGTCCAGCCCAACGTTTTTTTCAGTGGGTGTGCATAAGGAATAAAAAGACAGGTACTGTTCCCGAAATTACCTACTTCAGATCAGCTCTTACAGATTTCACAGAGGAACAGGTGAGTTATATTTGTAAATGCATTTCACTGCATGTCCTTGTCTGTAGCTTGCCCTATTTAATATTGGGAAAAATTCATGATGCTATACTCATAATGAAGTGATTGATGGTACTGGAACTGATATGACAATTTGCAGTAGATTAATCTGCACAATGTTTGCAATAACTTTTTCATTTGCCTTTTTCTTTATAGTGTCTTCAAAGCTCACAAGATGGCTTTTTTCCAGAATTTTTTCCAGCAAGTTAATAATGACCAGGTCAGTAAATACATTGCCTTCATAATGGCCATTCAAAAAGATGAACTTTAGGTGGGTCTCCTGTAGGGAGTGACTAACTCAACCACACCTTAGCATTAGCAAAAGAAACTTAGCATTACTTATACTGTATGTACTTTAGGGGTTGCACGACTACTGATTTCTGCTAGTTGATTTCTTATTTAAAAAATACTCTCGTTACTCGACTACTCGTGGTTCATGCTACTGTAAATGAAAAGACATTAAATAGTTCTTATCAATAAACGCTTATTAATTCATAGCCTAATGCAACAATTACATATGCACATTGTCAAAACTTTATAATTATGACATTACATATTTTAATTTTCATGTAACAGCCAGTATTTGTATCTGTAACAATCACAAAATTATTCGTATCTGCATTCGGATAAAACCAGGTGGAACGTCGTAGTTACTTGATAAGACCGTTATGGCTACCTTTTTTCATAGTTATCACTGAACAATGCCATGTTAAACTAAAATAATTATTATTAATTTCTAAAAATATATTTATCATGCAAGCAGAGAGATGTCATGACAAACGTTTAGTGATCATTTGAACACGACTGAATTAATTCAATGCGCACATTTTCATTATGCAGAACTCTTTAAGCGAGTCTTTTTTTTGAACTTCACTAAAAATATGTGCGTGTGCCACGCAAGCCAGCAAAAGATAAAGATGCAAACATGTAGGCCTAGAAAATGTATCTGTTTCTAAGTTGATTATTAGCCTGCTCTTGAGAGAGAGCTGGTTTGGTTTTTGAGAGACTGCGATGCGCAACGCGGCTGTTTGATTGGTGAGCGCGCTGTGCTTATTCCATTCATTCGTATCATTCGTTCGTTTTTGAAGCCATTATCCGTGCCATTCCGAATAAGGTATTTGGCTTCGGGCATACCCCTAATTATTACATTACATATTTTAATTGTAAATGCAACATAGATAAAGTCATAGAAAGTAACAGCTACACGCAATATTGTAATCCTAAAATTCACGTCGTACTTGCAAACTTATGGTTAATGCATGCTCGAGTAATCGATTGTTCCCGACAGCGCCGACTAGTGGTTGAAGTAGTCGATCACTCGACTACTCGACTAGTCTATGCCAGTGTTTCCCAACCGGGGTGCCGTCTGTCGAGAGCAGGGGTGCCGTGTAAAAAATTTTTTTTTTATATTTTTTAATTGCTAAAATGTTCAAAAAAGCAGCTTTTATATAATATCCATTTCTGATGTCGCCAATAATTAGAGATGCACTGAAATTCCGGCTGCCGAAAATTAGTTCACCGCTCAGGTTTCACTTTCACGTGGATTAATACATTAAAATCTGTCATATAAATTGGTCTTTTCATTAGAAATTAGCCTACTGATTGCCACCATTGATGGACAAATTTTTTTTATAATATTAAAAATATCTGTATGACAGTATATTCTGCAGTTCTTCCCTGCTGAGCCGAATATCTATACTTTTCAAAGTATCATATCGAA